TAGGACAAAATCATGTCATGCAGAAAATGTTTTTTAAAATGTTTTTATTTATTTATTTATTTATTTATTTGAAAGAGCTACAGAGAGAGGGATACAGAAATGGAATGAGACAGATCTGTCTACTGGCTGAGCCATGCTAAAATAGAGTCAGGAGCTTCTTGCAGGTCTTCCATGTGAGTGATGGGAACCCAAGTGCTCGAGTTAACACTGTTTATTTTCAAGCCATTAGAAGGGGATTGGTATCAGAAATGGAGTAGCCTGGACATGAACCAGTACTCAGAAATAATGCAGGCAGTGCAGGGAGTGGCTGTACCCACTATGCCACAACACCAGCCCGTAGGCTCTCTTAGAATTAGATGTTGACTATCTCATGTAGTTCATTGACTATTGAAAGTAAAAGAATGGTGGTATTGGCATATTTTTGCGACCATCATAAGCCAAAAAGTGTAAGTCAAGCTATCATAAGGCAGAGGTAGTCTGTACACTTTTCAGTCATAGATAGTCGAAACACACCTGTTCTTTATCCCAGCAATTATAAATGTACGGTATGTGTGTGTGTGTTTGCCTGAGTGTGTGCACATGCATGTGTGTGTGTGTTTGTGCATATGTCTGTCAAGTAAATGGAGAGTGAGAGGAAAATAGCGCCTATTATGCTACCATAGGGTATTGCATAAATAAGTCAAGACATATAATGAATAATAATTTTTCAAAGCTGTGGAAAGTAATGTAATAGAAAAGGACTATATTTGTTAATCATTATCAAGATCTGTGCTTAGAAAAAAAAGAACCCAAACTGGATTTTGGAAGTACTCTTTTTCTTCAGTAGCATTGCTGAGCTACAAAAATTTTGCTTACTTTGTCATTGTGTCATTTGTTTCCTCTTTGTGAATATCTACTATGTGAATTCAGATTCTGGGCTGCTTGTTAAACGTGTAGGATTTTACATTTTTGGCTTCAGTTAGGTAGCCTTGCTCCTCTCTGATGAGAAGAAAGGGGATTTGGATATTTGATGGATAACTGAAAGAGGTCACAATAAAAATAGAATTTTGAGTTTCTGAGTACTCTGTTCACCTAATTCTGACCAAAAACTCTGTGACAGATGCTTGACTCCATTCATCTGAATTTGGTATCTGTGGCAGTTTTCAAAAATAGCAGCTGCTTACTAGAGTGTGTGATGAGTCACCTCTGGATTTACAACATTCCTTGAGCGAAATGGAGGAAAAGCACGAATGACAGGAGCCAGTGGACAGAAACTCCCAGCGCCAGGGGTGCTCAGTAACTCTTCTTTCGGCCACCTTCTCCTCTAGGAGAAGGTTATCAGTTCCACACCTCTTATTCATCATTTCAGTAGGTTCTGGGTGTCAGAGTTCTTTGCCAGTAATCAGGAAATTGACTCCTTCAAACTTTCCTCATAGCTGAGATTCTTGAGAGAGGCAGTCATCTGTTGGTTCTTATGTTCCACCCTAGCAGCATTTCCACTCCTGGGAATACTACCCATCTGGGTTAGATTTGGGGTTATCAGAGCATTTTACACAGTCACCAATTCTATTGTTAGGTATTTAAATTTCATGCCACCAATAATGGAATGTATGATGGGAACTCAGTCCATATGTTTTGAAAGGACTGATGAACATTTAAGAAATGCAGTAGCCTAGTGGCTAAAGTCCTCGCCTTACATGCTTCAGGATTCCATATGGACACAAGTTCTAGTCCTGGCAGCCCTGCTTCCCATCCAGCTTCCTTCCTGTACCCTGGGAAAGTAATCAAGGATCGCCCAAAGCCTTGGGACCCTGCATCCACGTGGGAGATTCAGAGGAGGCTCAGGGCTCCTGGCTTGGGATCAGCATAGCTCCAGCCATTGTGGCCCCTTGGGGAGTGCATCAACAGATGGAAGATCTGTCTCTCCTCTCTGTATATCTGATTTTCCAATAAATAAATAAATAAATAAAGCTTTCAAAATTAATACTTGGATATCAGAATTTAGATGTGATTTTTATAGAGAGAAGGTATAATTAATGGCTGAAATACAGCAATGACTTGATAGTTTTTTTTCACAATTACTGTGCTGATTTGTTTTAGGCATTCTAATTTAGGATACAATTATGAAATGAAAAAGCTAGAGTCTGTTTTCCTGCTTTAATTTTATTTCATAACATAATGAAGACATTATTTTATTGTGAAGAACTTTTATGATCCATGTTCTAGAAATGTTAACTTTCCTTGCATTAATTATCCAGGTTAGCCATGTCATTGTAAGGGCATAAAATCAAAAGCTCAGTTGTCATTAACTATGAAATTTATTACTTATTTGGTATTGTTCTACACTTGATCTTAGCCAAAAGGCCGAGAAGTGATTGGTATTGTTGTGAACATGGCAAACACATACAAATACACATACATACATGAATTACTTCTATAAAATTGTATAGTGTAGATATAATCATATCTGTTTTATATATTAGCTGACTGAGGCTTGGGGAAAATAAGTGAATCGTTCAAATCAACATAAATAGTAATCAGTGTGTCAAGATTGGGATCCTTGGGTCAGTGTTTGGTTATAGGAGTCAAGACACAATTGAGATGCTCATATTTCTTCGTCCCTGGATTCAAGTCCCAGTTCTGTTCTCAGTTCATAAAGATCTGGAAGTTAACAGTGGTAGTGTTTATTCCTGTCGCTTACATGGGAGATCTGGGTGATTGAGTTCCTACCTGTTGGCTGCTGACTTCATGCTGACCCAGTTTCCACCATTGTGAGTAACTGAGAAGTGAACCCCTCTCTGTCTCTCTTTCTCTCAAGCTTTTGTTCTCACTTTCTCTTTTTCTCTAATTTAAAGGAAAGGGATGTGGGAAAGGAAAGGAAGGAAGGAAAGGATGGATGGCTGAAAGGAAGGGAGGGAGAGAGGGAGGAAGAGAGGAAGGAAAGAGAAAGAACAGGAAGAAAGATGAACTAAACCTGCCATGCTTCATCATCAAATTCTTTTCCATTATGCTGTGTAGTTGAAAAGACAAGATTGGAAATATGTTTCCCAGCAGCATCATGGAATATTGGGAAAAGTTGCCGTCTGAGATGCTGGCATCCTACGTGGGTGCCAGTTTGTTTCTGATCTAACTTCCTACTAATTATCTGGGAAATAAGTGGAAGAAAGCCCACATTTGAGCCCCTGCCTCCCATGCGGGAGACCTGATTGGAGCTCCTGGCAAAATGCTGACAGATGTGTCCATCTGGGTGAACCAGTAGATGGAAGATTCATTCTCACTAACAACTCAAACTCTAAGCTCTTTCAAATACGTAAATAAATCTTTTTTAGATGACAACATTTCCTGAGTGCTTCTATCATTCCTTTTTTCTCAGTAAGTAATAGACAGTGATTCTGTATTTTCTCTATTTATTCATAAAACATTTATTTACTGAAAGCCAGAGTTATACACAGATGAAGAGACAGAGAAAGATTTTCCAGCCACTGGTTCACTCCCCAGATGGACCCAATAGCCAGGGTTGGCCAGGCCAAACCCAGGACACAGCAACTTCCTCTGGGTCTCTCACAGGAGTGGCAGGTCCTCAAGTACTTGGGCCATCCTCTGCTGCTTTCCTAGGCAGGGATCTGGATGGGCAATACAGCATCAGGGATACAAACTAACCCCCAAATAGGATGCCTGTGTTGCAGGATATAGCTTTACCCACAATGCCAGCTTTAAATGATTACATTTCTGTAAGAAATAAATTATTTTCTGGGAAAAAAAGGACACATTCTCACTTCATTGGTTCTCACAATATTAGCATTATTCTGAAGGGATAATCATGAAAGTGTATTCAATTATGTAAAGTCCAGATGTTTATACCTGTGGATGTGGTGACCCTGGAAGCAGTTGAATCAATGGATTTTAGCTCTGGCCCCAGTCCTCTTGGTATTGTTCTTCAGGAGCTTTTACAAGCTGATAGGGTGAAATAGGCCTGGAGACAAGAATGATGGCTAAGAGAATGGAGGAAGCCCTAGGAATGAAAAGGTTGCTACACAGGTTTTGTTATAGTTTATTTCTTTCCTTGTGAGTCTAAACCATGGGACAACACTGGAATAGAGTTAATTTAGGGGAAAAAAAACAAATCAAATTTTTTTGAACAGTAGATATACTTGGGCTAAGGAAAGCTAAATTGAGTCTCTAATGTTTATGTTGTTTGGTTAGAATTTAAAGGTTAGTTTTAGGATTTAAAATATCCTTGCAACTTAGAATTTTTTTGAAGTAGTTTTGAGAAAGCTTTATTTTCAAAAACTTGCCCTGCCTACTATCTAAGAGTGAAGCAGTGTGTGGAGAGGGAGGAAGACAAAACTTGTCATACAAGTACTGGCTCGGCCTCTTCTGTCCAAACTCTGCTCTTGGGAGCAGTCTCCGTCTGTCCCATGGATTTAGTCTGGGATTTTGCTAGGTTCTCTCTTGATGTCATTCAACTGTAGCATATGTATGAGTTTGTTACACTGAGCTCTGATGCTTTAGAACATCCACAGATGGAACAGGAACAGGGACTCTGGGTTCTGTTAGTATCAGCAGCCGTCTCTAGATGTGGAAGTGCTTAAATTTGTGCCAGACTGGCAGGCCAACCAATTCATCTTCTCTGTCCTCCTCTCTCACTTACAATGGAAGCAAGGTTTGGAATCTGTGTATGAGGTCATATGTCTGATGTGGCTGAGGAATTCAGTTCTTGTGCACACGTAGCGTATTTTCAACTTCTTTTAGGATCCTGGGATCGGATCTCCTGCTTTCTGTGGGAGATATGAAAACACTTAAAAATAGACCTTTTCTACTCAAATCTGCCAACTTCACTGTAAAGGATAGAAGGTTATGATGTCGTATGATAAACATGAGCCTGACCAACTGGTTATATCACCACGTCATAAGTATGTCAGTATATAAAAAAGTGAGCTGCATCTCTACGAGTTCAGTCTGGGAGCACCAGCTGTGCAATGCAAGGAGCAGACTTGTAGCCAACTTACATCACCTTCACCATGAAAACAGCCACAGTGCCCATGCTTCTGACCCTGGCTCTTTGCCTCATCCAAGGTGAGCAATTTGCATGTAATCCAAGTCTCTTGCCACATACCTCAAAGCCATGGGGAAAAAACCTTTCTCCTCACTCCTCAACAAAATATATTTATACAAGTATGTGTAATCCTGAGATATTATGCCAGACACAGTTTTGGGGGATTTATACAAGTGGCTTTATAATGTTACTGTCTTTAGAAATGGCAAATGATCTAATTTGAGACTATCTGAATTTTTTTATCCATGAGAAATTCTTTCGGTGATTCTATATTAGTTCTGAAACAGATTTTTTTCTCTTACCCTCACTAAGCGTATCCATTCATATTGCATGTACGTACGTGTGTGTATATATATATGTATATATAGTCAGATATGTATTTTTAAACTTACATGTTATATATTTTCTGTAGTATTTTAAACCTGTTATATGTTTTTATTACATTTTCTGTAGTATTTTATTGCTACATGCATAACTAAAATATTTTAAAATATTCAATACCTCTTCTTATTTTAAAGCAGTAGTGCTATTTAGCTTAATTTTTGTCTGTTTTTAAATCCTAAATGAATTGAAAGTACTTCTCCTAAAAAGCGAGTTTAGTGGGGTTTTGTGTTAGCTCTTTAAACTTTGAGGGGAAAACAGATTACCAAGACTTACTCTGCTCAAAAGCATTTACATTTTTTAAAAGAATCTCAGAGTAAGTGAGTCCATTATACACAAATGAGGCCCTAAATGTGTAGGTGCAGAAGAGTATGTTAATGACATAGTGTAACAGTCCATAATTTTGTCTTAATTTTTGCCAGCTCTCTATTTTTTTTGTAACAAGAAGAGTTGCTGTAACTTGAACACTCAATTTTATCTATATATAAGTTATGAGTTATAATTGATATTGTGTATTAGGCAGGTATATGGAGCCTATTATACTTTCCTCTGACATTTGCAAATTCCATGTTTGGGGGCAGTCAGAAAATACATGAGTGTTTTTTCTCAAGGCAATTGGAAGTTCCTACATGATTGGATCTTTGTGAATGCATAGACATGTCTTCTAGTACAGCACTCTCATTTACTATGATAAATTTCAAGATATTGAAAAATCATTTTAGCTTTACAATATATTGTTATCAAGACAATCAAGACACTGCATTGAATAAGTGAATTATGGACTCTTTTATATTCCTTCAACTTTGGTTTCTGTATTTTTGTCCAGATGCTGCCAGTGAGGATGAAAATCAGGTTAGTCCTGCTTTTTCTGTTCATTAAATTCATTCCAGACTCTGAAGAAAAAAAACTTGTTGTGGACAACACCTTCACTTGGATAACATAGCTGTATTCTGATAGGTATAAAGCTTTGGTTAAAAACACAGAAGCTGATCTCTATAAATCAAGAGCTGAATCTCTGTCACTTTCTCTCTCTCTCTCTCTCTCTCTCTCTCACATGCACGTGTACACACACACACACACGATGGTGACAGATGTCAGCAAGAAACTACCAGTATGCTTAGGAGTGCTTTGACATCAATGAGAGCAAACAGAAATGAATAAATCGATTGACAAACTACTGTTGCTCTGTTTAACATCTGCATCAAGCTATCATAACACAGAGGAAGCCGTAAACACCACATAGGAAACCAAAATGACTTTTGGGGCCGTCTGTGTTGTATGTAGTCAGTGTATGTTTTTTATACAGTAGTTATTTTTTTAGTATCTATTACATCTAACCCTCTTTGATATACTAGAGATATTCTAAAGTAAACAAAACCATGACAAATTACAAGAAAATTAGTAGCATATATGTTACATATATATGATATATTACATTAGCACAATTGCTATTAATTAATGCTAAGCAAAATAGTAGGACATTGGGTAGAAATTCCAGGAAATGGAAGTAGTAGCTTTTTTTAACATTTTTTTTGGAAGACAAATTTACAATGAAGAGAAAGACTTTCTGTCCTCTGGTTCATTATCAAATGGCTGCAACAGCTTGAACTGAGCCTGTCTGCAGCCAGGAACCAGGAGCTTCTTCAGGGTCTCTGACACAGGTGCAGTGTCCCAAGGCTTTCAGCCACCCTTCACTGCTTTCCCAGGCCGTGGACAGGGAGACAAATGGGAAGTAGAGTGTCAGGACATGAACTGGTACCTATATGGGATGCTGGCACTTGAAGGCAGAGGATTAGCCAGTTGACCTATTGTGTTGGACTTCTTCACGGCGCAGTTCAGGAAATTCTCCATGGGGAGATAGTATCAGACCAAGAATCTGAAAGCTGCCAGAGAGTGAGCCATGAAGGAGTTTGTAACTCACGCCAGACCAGGCAGAGGCACCTGCTGTAACAGAGGGACTTTAGCAATTCTGAATAGTGTTTTATTTGAGAAATAAAATAATTTCTATCAAAACTACATTTATCATCTGTTTGAAAAATTAGTAAGGATGCCTAGTTTCTCTCTGACACTCAAAAGCAGTACCAGGTATATAGCAAAATTGTTACATATCTCACAGATCATGAACATCATGATAATAAATGCATGACATTTTGTTTACACCACAACTCTTGAGGTATGACTAAAATACTTTCTCTGTGTATATTATTTCAAAATTTTTAAAAACAAAACCTTTTTAATGGGAAATTTTTAGAAGATATCTTCATAGTTTTCATATTTCCTGTAATTTTTTTTTATTAAGGAAAGATGCAGAAACTCTGCTAATGTAGAGCCAAGCTGGATTGAAGGGAACCAAAGAACATGATCTGTTAGTTATTTCACACTGAAGCATAGAAGGATGTTTTATAAATGGCACTGTACATGGCATCACAATCTTCTTTTACATAGTCCATGGTAATTCAGTGCTGACTTCTGGAAGATGGCATACATATTGCACTGATTTTTAAAAAATTGTTAACTAATCTACTGAGCAAGTGTTTTAAAATATATTAGTTTAGCCATTCCCGTTTATTATTGGCATAAAGGACAAGATTACAAAATAACCATTTCTTTGGAAATAGTCTTTGGATCATGTATGGGAAATCATAGGTTTTGGATAGCCTGTGAAAAATAAAACTATTGAACTAGTCTTATACCCCTGGATTTTTTTCTCAAGTTCAGTAGATTCTTTATAGCACCCTAAAAGCATATTGGACTTATTAACATGAACCAGAATAGCATGGAGAAGCACTTAATATCTGAAAGAACCTTAATTATATTCTATTTTCCATCACAGAAACCTTGTTATGAATCCCAAAGAAAACGGTTCGGGGTTCTGGCTCAGAAATTGGGCAATGCCAGCTCTCAGAAAATGTTAACCATCATGTCCCAGATAGACAAAGGACTAGGTTACAGTCAGTGGGGCGGCTGGAAGGAATTTCACCCTGGAGGCTCCATGGTTTCCAAGATATGTGAAGAACAGTAGCAGCAATAACAAAAGGAAAGAAAAACAAGCCCAGGGCTGGAAATTATGCTGCACGTAACCAGTTTCTGACAAGTAATAAATTTTTGGTAGAGCTCTGCTCCTGTTTTAGTCTTCTTTGTTATAATCGTTAAGACAGGACTCCATTTTGCCCAAAGACAAAATTCTAGCTGTTGCTTTCAATATTTTTCCTTTTTCTTCTTTTTGAAGAGGATATATTGGACCATTTCACAACCAAGAGCACTGGGTCTCATCTTAACTAATTAAATGCAGTGAACCAGTTTTTTAACCTCCTATCTGAGCTTTATGCTCATTTGTTTAAAAAAGGGGGAGAAAAGAGGGTCTTTCTAGGCATTTAACAATCATCTAATTATGATATTGGGCAAGTCTGATTCAGGAATTACTGGGATTGATGCTACTGTCTCATAATTAACCATTCAAAATAAATTAGAGCTTCATTGCAATATTGCCACAAATCCTTCCTTTTATATATTCTTGAGACCTACGTTGGGATGGGTATATTTCTTGTACAAAGACAGGAAGCTACTCTCAGATTCTATTAGAAACTTTTTAGGACTTCATAGAGTCAGATCTGGCAAGCAAAGCAGTAATTTACACAATTGCATAAAATTCTAGACTTCAAGTCATTAGTTTACTGCCAGAAATTACCACTGTGCTACTGTAATAACATCATCACTTCCTATTCTAGCAAGTCAACTTTAGTAAGAACTTTTAAAATACATTATTTCATTATGTTTCACCTTTCTTCATTCAAGTGCTACCAACTTCTTACTATCATTTTTAAAGTTTTTTTTTTTTAAAGATTTATTTTTATTATTTTTTCATTGGAAAGGCGGATATACAGAGAGGAGAGACAGAGAGGAAGATCTTCCGTCCGATGATTCACTCCCCAAGTGAGCGCAACGGGTCGATACTATGCCGATCCGAAGCCAGGAGCCTCTTCCGGGTCTCCCACGCGGGTGCAGGTTCCCAGAGCTTTGGGCCGTCCTCGACTGCTTTCCCGGGCCACAGGCAGGGAGCTGGAAGGGAAGCGGGGCTGCCGGGATTAGAACCGGCGCCCATATGGGATCCCGGGCGTGCAAGGCGAGGACCTTTAACCACTTGCGCCACTGCGCCGGGCCCAAGTTTTTTTTTTTTTTAAATTGGAAAGTCAGATATACAAAAAGAAGGAGAGACAGAAAGAAAGATCTTCCATCCAATGACTCACTCCCCAAGTGACTGCAATGGCTGGAGCTCAGTTGATCTGAACCTAGGAGCCAGGAGCTTCTGCTGGGTCTCCCATGTGGGTGCAGGGTTTCAAGGCTTTGGGCCATCCTCAACTGCTTTCCCAAGCCACAGATAGGGAGCTGGATGGGAAGTGGGTCTGCCGGGATTAGAACCCATGCCCATACAGGATTCTGGCATGTGCAAGGCAAGGATGTTAGATGCTAGGCTACTGCGCTGGGCCCAACTTCTTACTATCTTTAGGAGGCTAGAATAGGCACCTTATTCCAAATTCTTCTACAAGCAGTATTTGAGAGGATACTTCTGTCATATTTGCTGCTATATCAATGGATCCTTGAAAAGTTTGTTCGTTTTTATTGGAAAGGCAGATCATATTTACTAGTTCATTAGTGACCAGAGCTGTGCTGATGCAAAGCCAGGAGCCAAGTGCTTGCTTCATTTCTCCCATGTAGGTACTGGGTCCCAAGACTTTGAGCCATCCTCTGCTGCTTTCCCAGGTCATAAACAGGAGGCTGCATGGGAAATGGAGCAGTCGGGATGTTAATTAGTGCCCACAGGGTATCCTGGTGCTTGCAGAGTGAAGATGTAGCCACTGAGCCATAGCACCAGGCCCAGTACAGTCATCTCTTAGTAGTCATTTTTGACTGGTGTAATGATCACTATAAGTATATAGGAAGACAAAATACATATATAGGAGAATTACTTCTTTGGACACGGTACTATTTGTGACAACAAAGGCTTTATTTATTTGCTGATAAAAGCATCAACAAACAAACAAAAATAAAACCCTGAAGCAGTGTTCTTGTTTAGTGTTACTTTAGCAAAATCAAATCAAACAAAAACGCATAGATTCTGTTGATGCTGTAGCACAAAGAACTAAGATCTGACTGTGGTACCATCATCTCCTATGGGTGCCTGGTTTGGGACCTATCTTCTCCATTTCCAATCCTGTGGACAAGTAGATGTAAGATCGCTCTTAACAGGCAACACAAATACAACCTGATTTTAAGCTCCTAAAAATTGAATGACTTTTATCAGGCTTTCAATAACATATGATTGAATGAATGACAATACAGGAATCAAAATTTCAACATCACAGAACTGGCCTTTTCCATCAATTCTGTTATTCAAAATTGTGTCCTCTGCCCTCCCTAAACTTGGTAGGATGCAGTCATTGGCATTTACAGAAAGGAAGATAGTACAAGTAGAGCATAGCATGCCTTCAGCAATATACAGAATCCAACAAGAGTTATTTCAGAAGACGTACCCCCATTTTTTTTTGTAATAGAAGAGACAACGTAAATAGGAAAGTTTTGAAAAATCAGCATAATATTTCTGTAGATTTACCAAGTTTGATTTCTGCTGGTAGTGACATTTGGTGGCAATGATGCCTGGTGTTAAAGAGGGAGAGAGAGAGATTCCTTCCAACTGCTGGTTCATTACACAGTAGCCCCAAACTGCCAGGGCTGGGCCAGGCTGAAGCCTGAAGTCAGAATTCCATGTGGGTCTCATAGAGGTGACAGTTGGAACCCAGGCCATTGATCCATCAGGATGCATGAACAAGAAGCTAGATCTGAAGCAGAGGATCTGGGACTTTTACTGAAAGTCTTGTGTAGAGTGCAGATGTCACAATCCATTGCAGGATGACCACCAAAATATACTCTGCTTCAGAAAGTGTAATGGAGCCTTTGAGAGATTGGCTACTGAGAGCATAAATGAGTACTAGGGAATATAGCTTCAGATCTCTGGCTACAGCTCACTTATCGTTTCCTTCTGTTTCACCCATTTGCAGATGACAGTGTATTAGCTAAGTTGGCCATCTCCATCAGACAATCCTAAGTCATTATTTTTGTTTGTGTTATTTGTATCAATTGAGTGTTTTCTGTACAAAGGGGATAGTGGCTGCAAAATAAGTATTACTCAAGGAAATTCTTGGAAGGAAGACTTCTTTCAATTAAGTTTCAGGAAACACAACATCTTTTTTATCTCATCCTCAGGAAACATGCAATAAGTTTCGAGTACTGATGAAAAATGGGAAGTTGTTCTGTCCCCAAGATGAAAAACTTTTTCAAAGCCCTGATTGGATAACATTCATCAACAAATGTGTCACGTGCAAGATGATACTGTGAGTAGTGTTTCTTCAACTATTTGAGTTCCAAACTAATAAATGTATTTTTTTTCTTTCAAATGCATTTTCTAAATCTAAATAGTAAAATAAAAATGTTTTCAAGAATTTTGACACTTTCCATCAGATAAATTTGGATAATTACTACCATTTATAGAGATTTTGAATAACTTCTAGCATAGGATTTGAGCAGCATCTGAAAAGCTCAAGATTAATACAGGATCATTCCAAAAAGTTCATGTAACATATAAAACTGTTGGGATCAGTATGTGGCACGGTGGGTTATGCCACTGCATAACCATATTGGCATCCCATATTGAAGTGTCAATTTGAATCTTTGCTTCTGATCCGGTCCCCTGCTAATCTATCTTGTAAAGCAGCAAAAGATGGCCCACACGATTAGTTCCCTGTCACCCATGTGGGAGACCTGGATGAAATTCCTGTCTCCTGGATTTGGCCTGGCTAGCCCCAGCTGTTGTGCCAATTTTGGGTAGTGGACCAGTAGGTGAAAGATCTGGTTTTTCTTCTTTCTCTCTCAAATTGTCTTCCATATAAATGAAAAGAAATCGTTAAAAAATGTTTATTTTGTTATGAGAAATTTTAAATCCATTCATAGTTTTTGTCTCATTAGGCATTTTCTGTGAAACTTTTTTGAAAATTCATCATACCTAATACAGCAGTCTGTGGTCTTTTGAGAAAGACCTTTGGCCTTCCTGACTCTGGAGATTCAAAAAAATAATAGTAAATAAGAATGAAAGTCAGATTCCTTAGACCTGTTGGAACCTGATTCTGTTGTTGTGCTGCGGAGCTCCTCTGAGAAGTATGCCACACTCTTCTCTGGCAGCCACCCAGCAGCAGGGCTGCAGCAAAACACTTTCTGCTTGTGCGAGTTGCCAGTGTCTTCAGACATCTGGGATTAGGCCAGGATGAAGTGCACCAACCTGCTGTAACTTTCAACACCTTGCATCTCATAACTAGTATCCTAGAAACATACTGGTCAACTCCACTTCTCTCCATTAATACCTCAAAGGTAAACGCAGCTTGAGTTATCAGTTGCAGATCTTCAAGTAGACTATCCTACTTTGGTTTTGGATGGAGAGGTCACCCCAAGTGTATGAGCACTGCCAAAAGTTTCAGCCCAATCCCTAGGCAAATCTAATCTTATTCCTTTAAAACAAGTTGCAATAATTGGCTTTTTAAGTACTGGGTGGGTTGGTATGTGTGAGGTGATTTAATTTGACATGTTCAATAATATTGGGATAATGAATCTCTGATTGTATTAACTGCTTCTAATGAAGAGACTGTGGGAATATGAAGTGTAAGCCAGAGCCAGGTTGAGGATGGGAGAAGCCCAGACACAGTTGAATAAAACTTTCCTATTCCCTTTTTTTTACATCAGATGATTTAGTAAGAAAGCTAAAATTATGCTTATAGTACATGTATTGAAAAATAATATTCAGCAAAAGTGAAATACTTGAGACTCACAAAACATTTACTCTAGACCAAGTCATTTATTGTTTTGTTGTTGTTGTTGTTGCCTACATAAATTATGTTGGAATAAGCTTTGTTTCTTAGGAAAGAGTGATGGACATACAAGCTATGTTCAGTATGCCGAAGGCAGAGATGTGGAAATGGCCATTGATTTGCCTCATGGGGGTTGGAATCAAGACTAATACAGGAAGATAGATTTTTCTTACTGTAAATATGGTCTTTGAAAGGCTATATATACACAATAGCACGGGCAGCTTTTAGAATCAGTAACCATCTGAGTGTTGGATGTATTAAAGGTTTTCAGGTAACGGTAAAGATTTTTGTCAATTATATTCCATGTTTGAGATATGTTTCAGTACTGCAGGAATGTTTGTGCTACCATGCCTATTTCTAGTTATATATCTACTGCTGACATGCCAGACTTGTCTAGGAAAGGGTCAAAATTGCTTATTACATAAACTCTTATCTTTAAAAGCTACTCAAACAATGTTTAACTTATCATGTATTCTTTCTTCTCTTCCAGAGAAAAAGAAGTGGTGTCTCAGAGAAATGCCAGCCGTTTAACAAGAGCCACAGCCTCAGCAGAGGTGAGCTATCTGGCACCAAGCTGTCATTTTTGCTTTTGGAGTGATGTTTTATTCTATGTGGAGTTATCTATTTCCCAATCTCAGGGTTATGCCTGTTTTGCAGCAAGCTACTTTCAAGGGAGGGGACTTGGCTTAGTCCAGGGGTGGGCTAAATATCTGGTATATCTTGTCCCTTGGCCCAACCCATGAGCTGACTCCCTGAAAATATTTTGGGCACTGACAGATGCTTAGAGGTGGGTCAGTCTATTTTTCATGGCCAATTCTCATTCTTCTTGTCCTACCTCCAGTAAGCTTTCCTGGGACACAGAAGAAAGATCTAATTAGAATTATTATTGTCTATGCAACTTGAGCATTTTGTGTGTCTCCTAGTGTCAATTTTCCATCTGTTACATGGACTATAGATCAGATGAGGAACTATCACAAGTTGTCTTCAGTGTAATTTTGTGTTGTCGGCACTAAGTCTAGTAACTCTCTCCTCCCTTTGCTTCCTACTGCATCTCTTTTCTAATATCTCAAGGGTTTTCTGAATCCAGCTAGAATTGGTTCCCTACATCTAATATTTTTCACTTGGGACTTGGAGGACAAATATCTTTTTGAAGAACAATATTTATAAAAATGTAAATATTAAGTTAGAGGAAATGCAGAAACTGCTCAGTCTTAGCCCACCACATAATCATTTAACTTTATAAGTATTTAATTAACACAAAAATGTTTTTTTAAAAAGTCAAGAAAATAAAAACTGCGGATCCAGATTGGTGGAAATTTCTCACCTAAATTATCTCATGACTGCTTAGCTAACTGAGGCAGTCAACAGCCCTTCTGTCAGCTGCTCCCGGCACTCCAGTCCTGTGTGGTTTCTCTTCTAGTTTCTTCCTTCTTTCTTTCTCTCCTCATCCTGACACATAATTAAAATGATCAGTCAGTGCAGACACACCCTAATTACTTATGACAATTACCTGTGTTCTAACCAAGCTGCCATCTTCCTTGGCCGTATTACGCAGGTATGTCTGAGAACCTCAGCCTCCGAAGTAAACACAGACCAAATTCTTTACTTTGGCTTAACCAGTCTCACTTTTAACACAATAACAATGGTCCCCACCCAACGGACCAATAACTGCCCATCCTTTATGTGTAATTAAAGGAAGCTACTTCTATATGCTCTAGAAACCTATGAGGATTAGAAAAGTTCAGTGGCAACTTTTAATTCTACTTTGGTTTCTCACATTCCAAGCGATTTCTTCTTCTCCTCTTCCCCTTTTCTCTAAAAACCAACAAATAGGTGATGCTTAAAAATATAAAATATACCCAAATGGAAAATATTCTCACACATGCACCACATTCCAGACTTAGCAAATTGAATATTTTAAAATATTGCAAGTAAAAACTTTCCATGGTGGAAAACAAATTCACTAGATTTTAACCAAGTAGGATTTTTAAGAAATAACACTAAGGAATTTTTAAAATATTATACCTACATCATGTTTTATATCTGAGTAATGACTATTACCTCTAGGTAAAATACACACAGGTATATGATTTCTGCCTAGGAAACAACAACCTGTGAGCTAAAGGAGTTAATATCTTACTGTGTACTTTTCCAGTAATATATATCGAGGTTGGTACTTGTTTTTGTTTGATGGATTCTTGCAATTATATTGTCATTTTATGCTCTACTATCAAAGAGAAGAATATACTCACTTTCTCTCCTTAGATTTCTCTCATCAAAAATCAACCCTTCAGAAATCAACTCTGAGGATCAAGTGCTTTACTTAGTCAAGAATTTTCTTTCTAGAGACATCTTCTCTTTCTCACCAACTTTTTCATCAGTGCATCATTCTTTATCCCCCAAGTCCGAGTTTTCACACCATCAGCAAGCCTTGTTGGGACTGTCTTAAGTAAAGTTCAAATTGGACTCCTTTACACCATTTGTTTATCACTCTGGTCTCCATATTGATCTTTTGTTTTTAAAATGCTTAATTCGTTCATTTAATATTTCTTGTGATTTTGAAAGCCAGTTTTAGAAACTAATCAGCGTATGTCAAACTATATATGTGTGTATAGTTTTCCTGTTCTTTCAGATGGGTTAAATTGCCTTAGTAAGTAGTAAGGCATGCCTCCCTTATCTTACAAGATGTTATTAAAATTGGCTTCATACATAGAGTTTCTGTTGACATATGAGAAACAAAAAACATTGAGGTTACTAAAATTCAACTTGAATTTGGAAACCCAGTTTTATTAGAGAGATGAAGTATTTATAAAGTGATATTGGTAAAACGATCTCCTAAATATTAGCTGACCAAACTTAAGAACACTTATTATTTTATTAATTCGCATTATTTATGAGATTTGTAAAATATTTTTTCACATTTTTGGAATATTTGATAATGCCTAAAATGTAGAGTTTTATTCCTGGTTTGAATGTTTTTATATTACTGTCTGGTTTCTGTTCCTATAGAGAAATTCTTTTGATTTCTGCTTGTCCTATTAAGCTACTTTCTGATACTTTGCGTTAATTCTGGTGGCTTGTTGATTCCGTTGCTTTTTTCTTGGCAGATGATTTCATAACCTGCAAGTAATGAGATTCTTATGATTTCCTTTTAACATCAACACTTCTTTATTTCTGTAGCACTGTTTCTTTTGAACTAAGGTACAGTACCTTACGTATTAGTAGTGATGATAAAAAAAAATATCAAAACTCCCTCCTGTTCTTCTGTTTTCTCTATTAAAAGGAATTATTTTTAAATGTTTAGTTTATTTTTTTTAAAAAGAATTACACAGAAAAGAGAAAGCCAGAGAGAGAGAGAGAGAGATATCTCTTGGATCCACTGTTCTCTCCCCAAATGGCTGCAATAGTTAGGACAAGGCCAGGCTAAAGCGAGGAGCTTCTGCTGGGTCTGCTACGTGGGCACTGGATCCGAAGGATTTGTGCCATCTTGTACTTGCCCAGATGTGTTAATAGGCAGTTGATATGGAACCACAGGGACTGGAACCAGTGCCATGTGGGATGCGAGCACTGCAGGCAGGCAAGCAGGTAGTTTAAACTGTAAAACTAAAATGCCGGCCCCTAAAAGGAATACTTCCAAAGTTTTTTCATTAAGGAAATGTTTTTCATGGAGAGTTTTATTGAACCTATAAACTTTGGTAAGTTTCACAAGACTCTTTCCATACTTAGTTTGCTGAATATATGTTAGTTTTCATTTGCCAACTTTTCTGCAGTTATTAAAATACCTGATTTCCCTTTTAGTCTAATAATATGATTAACCTTTTAATATTTTCACTATTTTAAACTATTATTTTAGGATACATCATACTTAATCATCATACATTTTAAATACACTGTTAATTTGGGTACTAATATATGGGGGGGTACTAATATTTTATTTAGAAAATGTATGATTATGTCCTTTAGTGAAGTGAGTATGTACTTTTCAATTATTCTTATGTGGTTTGAAAATCTATATAAAATTATTATGAACCTTAGCACTTCAGGCTATTGCTGAACTAGAAGGGCAGCAAATCCTCTCCCCAAAAAACCAATGTAAAGCTAAGTAAATCTTACAAAAAGAGTCATTTTAAAACTCTAAAACTGCAAAACTCCAGATAAGATGAATTGGAGTCAGGGATGGTCATGCATAAGGATTTGCCCATATTACCTCTAGGTCAGGTGTCAGGGATTGCCTGTGCAGGGAAGACTGGAAGCATGAGCAACTAGGCAGCCACCACTGAAGCGAGTTACTTAATTTCAGATAAGTGGTGCCAGTCACAGTCAGCAATGATTTCAATAGAAAGAATCTTAACTGAGAATAAGGGAAACAACCTAAGATCGTCATCATGCTTGTATCAAGTACAGTTTCTTACCAAGTCTTCTCAAATGAGTAACCAAGCCTGAAGAGGATCTAAAAAATTTGCAAACTATTGGTTGAATATTGAGTCATGCACATGCATTTAAAAGATGAAGAATATCCTGATGAAAAGCAAATGTGGATGTGAAAAAATGGCCTGAATTTTATGTATTCTACCAAACACAAATGTTCATCTGCAGAAATTGCCTTATTTGCTTGAGATTTTTTGAGTAGATACTTAATAAAGCCATCGGCTGACAACCAAGCAACCAAGACAAAGGAAAAAAAATCTAGGGAGCTGGAACGTATAAGTTATAAGTCTTTTCAGAGCACAGATTTTTAAGGACACAAACTGGCAGCTCCAAATTATAGGAGAGTGAGATTTCAAAGCATTAGCCCAGCAAAAAAAAAAAAAAAATCAGATAAAATGGTCATTAAGGAGAAGTCATAATTCTGAGTATCTACAAAATATTGTTTCTAAAATATACAATATACTTTGTAATAATGCACAATATATTTATGTACTATTCTCATTTTAAAAATTAAGAAGTAGCAAGAGTGTATGAGCTAAGTTCAAGGAAGAATATGCAAATAGATATATTCTTTGGGTATTTGCAGCTGATAGATTTTATAAGGACTTGAAATAGCTATTAAAAATGTTAACAATTTAAATTTGAAAATGTTCAAGAAATGAGAGTTATGTGGCAATGAATGATCAAATAGAAACTTTTAATTAAAATAAATCATCAAAAAGAAGTGAATAAAAATTCTGGAAGTAAAGAGCATAACTGAAGTGAGAAATCCACAAGTGGGCGTATGACTGCATAGAAAAGAATCAGCAAACACAAAGTAATAAAAATAATGAAAGTACAGACAGAAAGAGCCGATGGGAAACGAACAAAATCACAGACTGTAGTTTAAGAGCATGTGTACCAACAGCGTGCATACGAGCAGGCTGTGATGGCAATATCAGAAACAGGATAGAGGAAAGGAAATAGGCAAATTATGCGAAGGGGCAATGGCCAAAAGTGTAACAAATATAATTTTTTACAGATTTAATTATTTTTTTAGTAGAAATATTTACAAAGAGAAGCCGAGACAAAGATCTTCCGTCCAATGGTTCACTCCCCAAATGGCCACAACAGCCAGAACTCATCT